CCCCTTTCCCTCAAATGTTTTTATTGAAACCTTGAACATTCTTTTTATTCAAAACTGTTAAACAATTTGGTCATTTTTACCTGAAATGATTTTTAAAATAGCCATGCCGTGACTAGCCAAATCTCCGTTTTCCAGATATTTCCATGCTAGGTACAAAAACAAATTGTTGGCTATGACGAATTTTTAAATTTACAAATATAACACACGTCTGTTTTTAACCTTGTAAAATCAGGAAAAAACGACCTTATTGATTAAAGTTAGAGGCCAAGTGAATGATGAAAATTAAATATACAATGCATTTTTAATAAAAGACCAACCTAGCCCTACACTGAAGCCTGAACCATGGATTTTACATTTTGTGCAAACGGTTCGTATTCCTTGTTTATTATAATCATGCCTAAAATTTTATTGATTTATATGTATAAATAAAGATTTCTAAAGATTGAATAATTTTTTATAGTTTCGGTCATGACCCTCAGGGCCAAGGTGACAGATACAATAAAATTCATTCTTATTTTTATTCCCGTCTACTCCCTTCTACTCAAAGATGCTAATTTTTTTTTCAAATTGGTTCAGCTGTTCCGAAGAAGCTGAAAAGGTTAAAAAAAAAAAAGAGCGACGACTAACGAAAAACAGCAAAAGTCAAATGAGTGACTCATGTGATAAGCTTTCAATGGAAAAAAAAATCTTCAGTAAGTAAATAATATAAGAAATTGTTCATTTTAATTCACATTTTAAATGAAAAAAATATGGCAATAATGTTCACTTTTAGGAAAGATATAGGCTGATCTTTAAAAATAAACTTGCGATCTCAATATTCAAGGGCATTTAAATTATATATATAGTGAAGAAATATTAAATATGGAAAGCACAAAGAAGTTCACTTTTTATTATTTTTTTTTTTAATTTTTTGAGTGGGTATCCTAATAAAAAGTGAATTTCTTTGTGCTTTCTATACTTTATTTCTTCACTTAGGGCAGTTATGATAGTTAAAGAGTTGTTGTAAAATGTGCTTTATAAAAAAAATTAATTCTTTACAATATGTATCGGCAACGATCCCCTAATAAAACTAATGACCAAATAACTGTATCTCACTTCCATTCTCAATGACCCTGTAGTGTAGGACAGCGTCGCAAGAATTCCATCGGCATCGAAAGCAAGTTTTTTTTTGACTTACCTAGATGGCCGAGCGGTATAGCACGCTGTTCCTGTACTGCTAGGAGACAAATTCCGTAGGTCGAGAGTTCAAACCCGGGTTGGGGCGGATGTGGGTATCCTAATAAAAAGTGAATTTCTTTGTGCTTTCTATATTAATATTTCTTACTTAGGGCAGTTATGATAGTTTAAAAGTTGTTGTAAAATGTGCTTTATAAATGAAATTAATTCTTTAGTCTTTACAATATGTATCGGTAACGATCTCCTAATAAAACTAATGACCAAATAACTGTATCTCACTTCCATTCTCAATGACCCTGTAGTGTAGGACAGCATCGCAAGAATTCCATCGGCATCGAAAGCAAGTTTTTTTGACTTTCCTAGATGGCCGAGCGGTATAGCACGCTGTTCCTGTACTGCTAGGAGACAGATTCCATAGGTCGAGAGTTCAACCCCGGGTTGGGGCGGATGTGGGTATCCTAATAAAAAGTGAATTTCTTTGTGCTTTCTATATATATATATATATATATATATATATATATATATATGTTTTCTCGCTGTCATGGTTTGGGAAAGCGTTTATTTCATAGCTATAAAAAAATAACCCACTCTTCTCTCGGCCTTTGATAATTTCGAACTTAAGAGATGAAATGTTTTTAACAAAGATGAAAAGGATAAAAAGATGAATCACAAGTCACTTACAAGTAACTGAAGATTTATGATCAATCTATACTGATCACTCATCAATCAATTGTTGTGCACTGAATCTTATTATCTTGCATCATAAGAAAGACGAACTAACAAATCTATTTGTTTTTAAGGTTACCTTTCAATCACAGGCGCTTGACGTTTTTAACCTTTCTTTCCATAAATAAAAAATCCCCCATACTATAATAATAACAAGGTTCGTCACGGTCGCCATCTTGAATTTTTCAGTTCAGCTACTTCGCCTCGATTTTTAGTCTACAATGTGTTTAAAATTAACGGATACAACCGTTTCCCTCAAGTACTTACTTTAACTATGCCTCCACTTTCGGGCAATTCAACTCAAATCACATTAAATCCCCTCTAATTCTTAAAATGTCGCTTCAAACTCAGTCTACTGCTACCGATTCCGTAAAACTTAGAAAAGGGAGGCCGGAAGTTGATGTTGTTATGTAAATGGGAATTCCCTCTACTTAAATTTCATTGGTTAAAAGAAATATGACGTTTCGCGGGAAAAATCATGCGAAGACAGTAACAAACTTTTTCGACATGTTGAATGCTGAGCAGGCCGATGATTTCCATAATCATCGGAAATAATATGTGAAATATTTTTTTTTCTTTTATTTTGTTGAAGAAAAAATCATGAGGAAATAAAAATTATGCTTGGTCCTGGAATTCTGGGTACTAATTTCTCGTGTAAGCCAGACCCCTTACATTCTGGCATAAATATTTCTTCCCTACAATGGTACTATTTTCAGTGTTTGGAAGCGATGAAAATTATAAAATAGAAGGATAGATATGTGTATTTTTTATTTTTCATTACAGTAGTGAGCTGGCCCAGATCACTGAACCTCCATGTCCCCTCTTTCTACAGGCGCGAAGCTGTCTTTGCAAGTACGCAAGTGCGTTACTACACATCGTTTTTTTTAAAAAAAAATCTCGGTCTGAGAGAGAGAGAGAGAGAGAGAGAGAGAGATTGTTGAGAGAAAAAAAATATTAGCATCATCCGGCAAATATTTTTTTTTTCAAATTATTAATTGTCATTATTTCGAATCAAATTTTATATTATATTTGAAATTTGAAATCTTTTTATTGAATCATATTGCCAAATCCAAATAAATCATTAATCTATAGTAAGTGTTCTATAACACATTAATAATTCTATAAGACCTTTGAGAAATTAAGTTTAATTATCGTTAAATGGCTTGATCAAATAGTATACTGGCGGATTTAGAGGGGGGGGGGGGGCAGGGGACCAGCCCCCTCCCTTTGTGTCCAAAATATACATAAGATTTAATAAAGCAATTTTTCTGTGTGTGGCTGTGAGCCCCTACCCTGACCCCAAACTGGTCGCCCCCTTTTCAAGATTCCTGGATCCGCCACTGTAGTATATGATTTTGAAATTCTTTTTGCTACCAACAATTAAAATACTTGTTGCTGAACATTATTAAAACATATTATAACAGAGAGCAGACGATACAAATGTAGCGGTAAAAGATTCTGCATGCCTCAAGTACATTTACAATAAGTTTCCGAGAAAGTTAAACTTCGTGTTGAAAACAATATTACTGCCTTGTCTTTCATAAGAAAAGCTAAATACCATGCTATTCCCTGCAAGAATGTGATTGAAATATTTGTACAAGCCCCCGCCCCAGACAAGGCTTCGCCTAAGACCTACGGGTGGCCTCACAGATTATATTGCCATTCATTTGTTTTTAAGGGAGGACCAATTGATTCCGGAGGGGGGGACTGGGCTGGGAATTTTTTTCCAGCTTTATTTCCATGTCAGTGAAGGACAATCAAATTTATTATCAAAATATGCCAGACCCCCCCCCCCCCTAAATTTCAGAATTAAATTGTAAACGCTTTTATGTTTTGACAATATAATTGTATTTTTATTTGGATTTAAGCCCCCCCCCCCCTTTACTTTTAGGTGTGTAACTACGCCTCTGTATGTAAAATACAATGTATACTATTCAGCCTAAATATTTCAGTGTTTCTAATAGCAGTTGAAAAAGTACACAGTTTTAGGCTAAATATATATTTATTTGCAAACAGTTGGGGACTATAGATGTATCAATATATATTACTAAGTTATTTATAAAATACGTACCAGTAGTCTAGAACTGCTCAAGCTCCATTTTTAAACAGTTCTTAATACATGTATTAATATAACTCTCAAGATATCCACCAATCAGAAAAGGGCTTTCCCGGATTGTGACGTTCTAACATCAACTTCCGGCCTCCCTTTTCTAAGTTTTACGGAATCGGTAGCAGTAGACTGAGTTTGAAGCGACATTTTAAGAATTAGAGGGGATTTAATGTGATTTGAGCTGAATTGCCCGAAAGTGGAGGCATGTTTAAAGTAAGTACTTGAGGGAAACGGTTGTATCCGTTAATTTTAAACACATTGTAGACTAAAAATCGAGGCGAAGTAGCTGAACTGAAAAATTCAAGATGGCGACCGTGACGAACCTTGTTATTATTATAGTATGGGGGATTTTTTATTTATGGAAAGAAAAGTTAAAAACGTCAAGCGCCTGTGCTTTCAATATAAATAAATTTCATTAAATATTCATATAGTTCCCCAACCATTACAAGATTTAGAATTCGGTATGAGTACCCTCATTTAATCACATGTACCTATCAAAATGTTTATCATTTTATCAGTTTCGTTTGACTAAAACATTCATGTATGCAGAGGAACACAAACATTTACTGTGGTAAAACTGGACAGGATCTTAGCAATAAATTTACCCTTGATCAGAGACGAAAAGCATTAGTGTCTGACATTTCAAAACATATTTCTTTCCAGATGAATGAGGTTATGGCTCTTGTTAATATTGTTGAAAATAAAGTATTGTGTTCTCAACATTGTTAACACCATCTCGAGAGAGGAAGAACGATACTTTTTCACTTTTCCCACAATACTAAAAACAGGCATACCAATCAATTAATGATTAACTTTTTATTTACTATATTAAAAATATATATTTATGAAACAGTGAAACGTGTCGCTGTTCACAAAAAAAAAAAAAAAAAAAAAAAAGCAAACAAACAAACAAACAAATCCGGTCAAATCAGGTCTCTGAATGTCAAAGTGCACTTCTTCATTATTTTACTAAACGTTTGAAAAGATGTAAATTATGAGCAATTTTTTTATTTCAACAAACAACCGACCTTTATATTTCATTATGCATTTGGTCACCGTGTAGTAATTTCTACAAATTAACTGATTATACATCACAGTTTTTGAACAGAGATCACATGACAAGTGGTAGTAGAACACATCAGATTTCAATGTTTTTAACCAAACATCGGTTAGAACGTCCTCCTTGAAAAACGTCTCCGGCATACTTATTTCAAACATTTTGTTATTAAATGAGAAGTATTCACAATTGTATGAATCATACTACTGCTTCCAGAATGCACTTGTTAAGTACACTTTCATGACCTTTTACACAGTTTATAGCATCTGCTCTACAGCTCGCATATCCTCTTTGGTTAAAGGATTCAAATGGAAGCCCTTAGGGTTGTCTTTGTGTTCCAGATCATGCAGTTGGCTCACTTTGGGCTTCAATTCCTTTCTGGTTTCTGCGATTTCATTGTCTAGCTGATCAAAATCTGGAAAAAGTGAAATCATAGTTAAATACATTGATATTCCCATGCTATAAGTCTAGCATTTATTCAGAATTTTATTGTTCCATCTTTAAAGGAGTGAAAATAATTATAAATAACATGCTTGACAATGATTCAATTTGATAAAAACAAAAAAACAAAAAAAGTTTTCAGCTATCGATTAGAAATTGAGAATCATTCTAAAGGTTCAAAGAGTAATTCAACCACTTTCTTGGCTATAAATTATATAATTTAGGGCTTTATAACTGCATTTGGTTAACAAGACTGCACTTCAAAATAAGTTAACATTACTATCTTTGTAAAAATAGAAAAAACTAGAAATATGTCCATAGGACATGAATGCCCCGCCAAGGGTATATTAGTAATGCAACATTGTAACACAAATTGAGAAAAGTGAGGTCAAGGTCAAAGGAAAGGTCAAGGTAAAAAAATATTGCTGCAGTTGAATAGCTTACATCAGTATGTATCAGCATATGACATTTGATTCAGAAACTAATTTAAGAAAAGTGAGGTCAAGATCAAAGGAAAGGTCAAGATCAAAAAATGTTGATGTAGTTGAAAAGGTTACATCAGTATGTATTAGCATATGAAGTTTGATGAAAATATTATGAATGGTTTCTTTAAAACTGAGCTAAACACTAATTTAAGAAAAGTGAGGTCAAGGTCAAAGGAAAGGTCAAGGTAAAAAAAAATTGATGCAGTTGAATAGCTCTCATCAGTATGTATCAGCATATGAAGTTTGACACTAATTAAAGAAAAGTGAGGTCAAGGTCAAAGGAAAGGTCAAGGTCAAAAAATGTTGATGTAGTTGAAAAGGTTACATCAGTATGTATTAGCATATGAAGTTTGATGAAAATATTATGAATGGTTTCTTTAAAACTGAGCTAAACACTAATTTAAGAAAAGTGAGGTCAAGGTCAAAGGAAAGGTCAAGGTCAAAAAATATTGATGCAGTTGAATAGCTCTCATCAGTATGTATCAGCATATGAAGTTTGACACTAATTTAAGAAAATTGAGGTCAAGGTCAAAGGAAAGGTCAAGGTCAAAAAATGTTGATGCAGTTGAATAGCTCTCATCAGTATGTATCAGCATATGAAGTTTGATAACACTATCTTGAATGGTATCTTTAAAACTGAGCTAAAAACTTATTTAAGAAAAGTGAGGTCAAGGTCAAAGGAAAGTTCAAGGTAAAAAATATTGATGCAGTTGAATAGCTCTCATCAGTATGTATCAGCATATGAAGTTTGTTAAAAATATCTTGAATGGTCTCATTAAAACAGAGCTAAACATTAATTTAAGAAAAGTGAGGTCAAGGTCAAAATAAAGGTCAAGGTCAAAAAAATGTTGATGCAATTGAAAAGCTTACATCAGTATGTATCAACATATGAAGTTTGATTACACTATCTTGAATGGTATCGTTAAAACTGAGCTAAAAACTAATTTAAGAAAAGTGAGGTCAAGGTCAAAGGAAAGGTCAAGGTCAAAAAATGTTGATGCAGTTGCATAGCCCTCATCAATATCTATCAGCATATGAAGTTTGATAAAAATATCTTGGATAGTTTCTTTGAAACTGAGCTTTGAACAGAGCTAAACGCAAAGTGTGACGGAAGGACAGACGGAAGGACAGAAGGACGGAAGGACGGAAGGACGGAAGACGGACATGACAAACACTATATGCCCCGGCCATATTCATGGCGGGGCATAAAAATGTGTTATTTGGGAAAAAGACTAATTCTAATATGCGAAGCATTGTAAATTTCCTCATAGCTTGTTTAAGGATTTATAGAGATTCTCATAATACACAACTAGACTTTGACCCGTGCGTGCACGGGTTGACATTGTTATGAATGCATCCATGTGCATATCGGACATTTACAAAATAGATACATCGACACATTCATATATTGTAAGGTACTTTTGAAATAAACAATGAATGTGAATATAATCCTTTTTTTAAAAAATTTATTTATTTATTTATTTTTGTTGCAAAATTGTTGCGTAACAGTGTAGCGCAGAATGGGTTTGACCCCCAGTTAGCTATAAATCAAGTCATGAGTTCGAATCACGCCGGAGCTTACATAAATTTCACCTTTCCAAACTTTAATAAAAGAAATTATGGATATTTATTGAAAATATGACAACAACAAAGAGTTGAGCACTGCTGATACATTTCAAGCAAAGTAATGAAAATGAAGAAATGTGTTTAGCTGGTATTTTTACACAAATAGTTATTAAACTAAAGGTGTAAAAATTTTTGTAACAATTTTAACACTGCAGGTCTCAACTTGTTCAAAATATGATCTCAACAATAAAAGAGTTATTAAGCACTGCTAATACATATACTTTATATATACACAGGTTATAGACATGTATATAATCTGTAAAAGCAGAAATGAAAATGGACAAATGTGCTATACTGGTATTTCTACACAATTTAGCAGATGTGAAGCAGAACAGATTATCTTGCAAATACCCCCCCCCCCCCCGAAAAAAAACATACTACTTGTTCAAGAGATCATAATAAAAATGAACTTTATATATGATATAAGAAAATGCTCTCATGACTGTCTGTTTTGATAAAAATTAATGTAAAAATCCTTGAATTAGTAATATTTTGAATCGATTCGATTAAAACAAAAACCTCGGTTTTTGAATAATTTTGATTCGATTTTTGGAAACAAAATGTTTGCTTCAGTTCTGTTTAAACCTGTTATAGTTATTGAAAATTCGAAATAAATATTAACCAATTTGAAAGTTTTTTTCATCTTTTATGATTCAACAAATGTAGTGTGTTTTACTTTTTAGCTCACCTGAGCTGAAAGCTCAAGTGAGCTTTTCTGATCACATTTTGTCTGTCGTCAGTCTGTCTAGCTGTCCGTAAACTTTTCACATTTTCGACTTCTTCTCCAAAACCACTAAGTCAATTTCTACCAAACTTGGCACAAAGCAATTCCTTATGTGAAGAGGATTCAAAATTGTTAAAATGAGTGACCACGCCCTTTACCAAGGGGAGATAAATAAGAAATATTGAATTTTTTTGGTAAATATTTAAAAATATTTTTCTCAATAACCATTTGACCAGGGAAGTTGAAACTTATGTGAAAGCATCCTCAGGTAGTGTAGATTCTAAATTGTTAAAATCATGACCCCCAGGGATAGGGTGGGGCCTTAATGGGGGTTGAAATTTTACATAGTAATATATAGGGAAAATCTTTAAAAATCTTCTTCTCAAGAACCTTTTGGCCAGGAATGTTGAAACTTATGTGGAAGCATTCTCAATTTCCTTTAAATCTTATCATGACCTTTCATGACCCCTGGGGATACGGTGGGGCCACAATGGGGGAGGGGTATCCATGGGAGTATTTATAGGAATTTTTTTTATGAATTTTCTTTTCCAAAACTACTTGACCAGAGAGGTTTTCTGAAATGTAACCATAACCACAATGGGAGAGGGGGGGACAGAATATTTACTGTAAATTTTACATATGAAAATCTTTGGAGAAAAATCTCAAAGTTAGAATATGTATCAAAAACTTAATATAAAAAACTAAATTTGTACAGATATTTCTGATTTGTTAAAGCTGTTTGGGTTGGAGTAATTGACCATAGTTGCTCAGATGAGCGGTGTGGCCCATGGGCCTCTTGTGTATACTAAGCATAAAATATATGGGAAACATGAATTATCATTATCTTACATAAGCCAAGCAAGGGTATCCTAAGTAGGAAAGTAGGAATTTGAAGGTACTTCTTGCTGCAATAATAAAGCCTTTTCCTGGGGGTGGGGTACAACTCTTTTTGGATCATACAATATCATTTCCATTTTTTAATTGAAATCATACAATGTAATCAGGAACATTTTAAAATAAATGTTTCTAATGTTATTTTTCAGAGCATAAATTTTTCCATAATATTTAGTAAAGTCTGAGTTTACCGCAAACTTTAAAGCTTACTGACCTTTACCGATTTTATTTTGGGACAGCCAATGAGAATTTGGGAGCGGATCTTGAACTGTATATGGGAATTTTTCTTACTTCATACGTACATGTAAATAATCAGGCAAAAATAAAATAAATACCTCATAAACATTTATATATCTGTTTAGTGATAACAAAAATTAATCTACTGCAGTGTTAAACGTTTTCAATCAAAAGTCATTACATCACATGAGAACTGTCATGGCTGCTGAAGAAGACAACTTGTTTTCACGCTGGTGTATTTTTTCTTGTGGCGATTTAATAAAACATAAGTTTGTTTGCTACGATTAAATATAATTCATTTCATCATTGAATAAATATTTTTACGATCTTAATTTTGTCCCATCTCATAGTTTTGAGATTTACTATGCATGAATTAAATTTTAAAAACAATCGGTATTTTAGCAGCATTGATAGAATGAACTGTACGGGCCGCAAGGGCTGACTTCAGACTACCTATCAAGCGTAGTTACCACGACAACCTTTACATATTTAGAAGAACAGGCTGTCCCTTCTATATAACGTACCGAAGTTCAATAACAATAATTTACATATTTCACCCACTTTTTTTGAAAGTTAATGAAATTTTTGGAGGTGAAGTTATAAATCTCAGCAGTGAAGGTAATAGTAAACATGGCGATCAAATTCAAGTTGCAATCATTTAGACACATTTCAAATTGAAAATATCGGTTATATTGACGTTATTTAATTATTTCGATTTATTTCAAAGTTAAGAAATGAAAATAATGTTATTGTAATTTTTGGCGGAAAAAAGAATGCCTACTTCACTAAGATGTGATTCTAGCTGGAGTTGTAACACCCCCCCCCTCCCCCATTTACCCTCAAAAAAGCATAAAAGAAAGGAAGGATAAAATAAAATCGGGTAGTTACATTAATTTTGCTCCTACGATCATGAGCTTTTTGCCTCCGTTGAGATGACCAGAGACATAAATAACATTTAATAAATGTGTCTCCTAGATGGCGAATGATTACCCACGTGGCCACAATATCACACTTGCATGGATATACTTAGAAACATTAATACAAATAAGTGTAAATTTTCATTGGAAATATGCTATATATTTTGTTCATATATATTTATGATTTCTTATTAGAGAAAACTATAAAATAACAAATATATATCTACTTAGTACAAATTACTGATTTGAACACCGTGATCTAGCGTGAATGTAATACGCACGCGCAAGATTGTAAAATCCAAAAAAATCCAGATGATTTCCGGAATTTTTTGAGGAATTTTCGTTGATTATTAATTAGCGAAGCTTAATAGAGAAAAAATAAAAACAAATTGGTAATCTTCAAGTACCAATGATGTTTATAATATATAAAACAAACGACAGTTCTCTTCCGATTTATCGGTATTAAAGGCCAAAAATTCGAGTCTATTATTTTAATATAGTAGCATAGATACTGATAAATATTTTTTTCCTTCATGTGCAAGGTTCTATGACTCGGAAGTCAGCAAGATTTCGGACTCTGATTAGTTTTATTTTTGTTACAAATGTATAGATCTTCATATGATTGCGTATTCACTAGCTGTTGTTTTTAGCTTCTTTTCTAAGAATCACATCATGACTTATACTGAAGGTGATACCGACATCATCATGGTTATCTTGAATTTCCTCTGCATCTTTTTATATGTTAGTATCAAGAAAAAGCTGGGGCTACAAATGGTGTGTACACTAGTACCTCCACAAAAGTTGTTAAGAGGGGAAATCCTCTAAAATGATTTAAAAAAAGATTTTTACTTTTTTTCTTCAATTGCTAATTTTACTTTCAAATTCCAATAAAACTTTTATACAAAGGCTTTTGTTTTTCGTAATAGTTAATTTTATTTATACATTTCATTTCATGAAAAAAATAGATGTGTTTGTGAAACACTGATGGCCCCGTATGGCAACTTATAGCAAAGATTAAACTTTCTCAAATGCAAATCAAATATGTTGGTACCAAATTAAGGTCTTGTCTCGAGGAACATACCTGTGAAACATGAAAGCCTTAGCAGCAACTATTGAATAGATATGAAAAAGATTAAAGTTTTTCAAAAGTAAGTAAATCATTAAGATCAAATAGTCAAAATTCATGGTGACCAAGGAAAGGCCTTCTCACAAAAATACACATGTGAAATATGATAGCCGTAGCACCAACCGTTCAAAACTTATGGCCAAGGTTAAAATTTTCCAAAAGTACGTCAAACTCCAAGGTCAATGTCAATGGATTACAATGGATTACAATTGTTGATATCCACAAGGAAAAGACATATTAAATTGGAAAGCCCTTGCACCTACTGTTCAAAAGTTATGTCCAAGGTAAAAGTTTTCCAAAAGTAGGTCAAACTCCAAGGTCAAGTTCAAAGGGTCAAAGTTGTTGATATCCAAAGGAAGGCGTTGTCACAAGAATTACATATGTAAAGTATGAAAGCCTTAGCACCAACCGTTCAAAAGTTATGGCCAAGGTTAAAGTTTTCCAAATGTTGGTCTAACTCCAAGGTCAAGGTCAAAGTTGTTGAAATCCAAAGTAAGATCTTGTCAAGAGGATTACATATGTGAAGTATGAAAACCCTAGCACCAACCGTTCAAAAGTTATGGCCAAGGTTAAAGTATGGTAAAATTTTGCAGAACTGGGCCAAACTCGGTCAAGGTCAAATATGATGGTACCCAAAGAAAGGTCTTGTCACAAGGAATGTACATGACATATGAAAGCCATAGCTCCAACCAATCAAAAAATATGGGCAATGTTAAAGTTTTTGCGGACAAACAAACAGACAGACAGACAGACAGACGGACAGGGCAAAAACTATATATCCCCGAATCTTCGATACGGGTGCATAAAAATGTATTTAATCACAGAGATGATAATAATAAGTCGTGTTGATGTTGAAGTTAAATACTAAGTTAAATTTAGACTTAAGATGACCTTTAACAAGGGACTTTAATCTGAAGATACTGGAAGTTTTGAATTTATAAATGAAACTGCTTTTAATATTGCTAAGGTATCAGCTTCAATGATGATGGAGTGATATTGTTTTCCTTTTACACTTCAGTATGGGTATTCGCCTTTTGTTTTGAAAATCAAGATCTTATTTAACTCTAGCCAATAAGAAATGACGTCAATGATAACTCGTAATTTATACACAAAAAATTGTATTCCCGTTTTTTCATTGAAACACTCAAGATCTTTTGTAATGCAAATAATTAGAGAAAACGAAATAGCATTTCTGAAGAAACTCGATCTTAAGGAAATTATAAAGGCGATAAACATGAGTAACGTGACCAGTACAGCCGGCAAGTAATCTAAACGAACGCACCTTTCAGTTTTATAAACAATTTAAAGGAAAAGAAACATTAAAGACTTTAACAGGAATAGCTGTTTCGCTGACGACTTAACCTGACTTATGAAAGAGCGAAGAACCTTTTGTTTTGGCATGTGTGTAAGATAATTCGGATAATTGTGTCAATAATGTGCATTAGTCTTCGTGTTATGGTTGTCTAGTTCAGGTGATCAAACAATACCTTAGAGGAAACGTCAATTATCCTCATCTATACAATGTAGATATCAAGACCACAGAGAAAAACCAGAGGATGATATGAATGGTAATCATAAAAGAAATAATCAACTTAGAAATAATTTTATCTACATTTGTTATTTTTACCGTTTTGTTTAATTTATATTTCCTCAAAACAGAATTTGGAGATGAAGATTTTACTGGAAAATGGAAATACTAATTTTGCGGAGAAACAGTAAACTTGATAGCAATTTCATCCAATATGAAGCAGTTATATATTTTGGTGACCAAAATCAATATGTGGCGTAATTGTTTAGCACCTGAACCCTGTCCGATCTTTAGATATCAATACCGTAATTCTCCTGCGTTGTATCAGTGAGTGGGGTAATAATCCTTGTACAATGATGAAGTGTGAGCCAATTCTGATCGTTATTATAGAGGGCTATTTAGACAAAAAAAGTATATGAATTTTGAACACAAATTAAAGCACTTAAAAGACTCTTAAACTGGAATGAAAATGAAAAAAAAAAACTTTATCTAAATTTCATTTTTACTTAATAAGTATGAAACGTTATGCCGTATACCCGGTATTTCGTCTAAGAAATGATAAAATTCACATTTAATAAACACCATCTCATTGGCTTTGATAAGAACAAAATAGGTTATCAAGAAGCCATTAGAAAAACTCAGAACATTAACAACTGTCCTGACAGATCCGCTTAAGTTTTGTTTTACACGGAGGATAAACGATATAGTGTTCGTCAAATTTCCGGTGAAATTTCCCGTCAATCAAAATAGTGCAGTCCAATGGAAAGACGATTATGATCTTAAAACGAGGCATACCCAAACAAACATTGCGGAAAGACACAGTCACTCCGCTCCATTATATCCTTCTCTTTTGAATAAAAGAGTAGGTAAGATGATATTATATGCACTCATTTATTAAAGACAAAGGGAAAAGATCTTTCGCGTCTAATGACGTCTAGTCACACTAATGAAACGTGCAAATAACGTTTAATTATTAATTGCTGTCACTTGAAGAGAAAATCTATGAAGTTTGTTAGACTAATGAGTGTCGGGGTAACCCTATATACTCCTTGATAATTAAAGGAAATGTATATATGTACAGCACTGGACATTATAGGACTTATCATCGAGATCATGCAGTAACGGTTTACAGCAACTTGTGAAACACAGAGAGATATATCAAAGTGAGAGACTAAGAAACAATATATAGAGTTAATCTGTGGAGACAGGAACAAAACATTACACATATGTCAAGAGATAAAGAGATGTTCTATACACGTGTTCGTTAGTATTTGACGGAAATACCAGAAAAGATACACACGTTTGGCTCTCGGACATTTGGTGTATTCGGATTCTTGTGCTGCCAGGTATGTTTGTTGTGTGTGAAAACACGATAGTATTACATAATTAATACATTCCATACCATGAGCTTTTTGTAGCTTAAATTAATAAATGGTTAATTGATATTTTACAGTAAAAAGTAACTTCACTTAAATTTATTTAAATTCTGGATTGTAATAAAATTTTACTCCATTGTAAATAATATACATTTTAAAAAGTCATTTTAATAACTTGTACGTTTTAGTTCATTGATATTGATACGTTATAATTTTATTGTTATTTTTTAAAGTACTTAAACTATAAAAATAACATTTTATACCTGTCAGCATGAACTCAGGCTGGGAAAGAATTGATATTATACGACATAGATATCGTTTAAAGTATCCCTGGGGAAAAAATGTCAGCTGTCAGATTCTTAATTTAAGTCAAAGATCAATTTTCTTAAATATCCATTACACTAACCAGCGTAACAAATTAGTTACATAACTCTCTCCTTCGTTTGAGAAATAGTGTGGTGACAAATTCGGTTTCCTAACTTGGATCAATGTTAGGTTATTGACATTGGTGACATTGGTGTTCATAATTCATTTAACCAGGTCATTTTGACATTCAATTTAGAGTATAGATAAAATATGGACCATATCCACCCCATTTGCTCCGTTTGCTATTATTAAGAAGCACATATATGTATGCTGTTAAGAGGTTGCATGTGTTTGTCATAAATATGTAAAGTGTATATTTAACATTGCTTTAATTTGTAACGTGAAAATTCTCAACGGAAGTATCATTATGTAAAATTTGAGAAATTCTCATTTTAGATTTTTTTTTTCAGAACTAAACGATGGAAAATTTGACAATGGTGATTTCCAATACCTCTACACAAATTTACCAGACCTTAGAAGAAATCAACGCGTCAAAAGCCGAACAACGCCTCCCCACCGTTATCTTCCTGACAATTTTAATTATTATTGGAGTAATTGGAAACACAGTGGTCATCATTGTGTACTCATTAAAATACCCACCGTCCACATTCAGACTGTACATCCTGACCTTAGCGGTCATTGACCTTCTCTCATGTATTTTTGCAATGCCCGTGGAAGTAGTGGACAACGCCTACCCGGTTATGTTTTATAATGAAGCCTTCTGCAAATGTGGTCGTTTCTTTGGCAATATATTCAAGATTGGATCAGCGTTTGTTCTCGTTGTGATGGCAGCAGGTAGATACAAAAAGATTTGTCACCCGTTTTCGACCGCCACTACCTTACCTCAGGCTCGTCTCTGCTGTGCAGCGGCGGTCCTTCTTGCTATTGCTTTTTCGTGGCCAAACGCAATCATCCAAGGAATAAAACATGTATATCTTCCAGGAAATATTACTGGTTTCGATTGCTCTCTTGATGACAAAATCATTAACACAAAATATCCATTTATTTATTCTACAATTCTTTTCGTTGTGTACGTGTTAGTGTTTTTGTTGCTAACTGTACTATATACCCTTGTGATTTTGTCACTTCAGAAACATACTAAAAAGCAAACAACAAAAAATCTAAATGAGAGACTGAACAAAATGAACCCTAGAATTACAAAACTTATGATTGCAATCACAGTGGCATTTATTTTGTGCTATCTACCAAACTGTATTTTGGATGCCATCTCTACATTCAAAAGAGGAAACATTTTCCCGCCAAGCCCTATTGTTTTGGGAACTCTACCGCTTTTGGCCAGAGCATTTTTTATTAACAATGTCATAAACCCTTTCATATACTTAATCGGGGAATCAAAATTCCGAAACATCATTCACCAGTCTCTGCGATGGTTGTATTATACCATCTGTTGTCCTAAAGAGAAACAAAAGAAAAGCTTCGCTATTACAGAGTCCATTCGATTAACAGAGGTTAGATCTACCGACTCTTAGTTAAGGAAAACATTGATATGGCTAATATTCCATCGTATGAACATTAAAATCGACATTAAAATAAATGTGCATATCATAATTATGTAGTACTTGTTCAATAGGTCGTTGGTTTTTTCATGAATTTTGGGCAAAAAAAAGGTCTCATTTCTGATACAACATTGACAGCACTTCCTGAATTATTTTAAATCAGAATGTTTCTGCATTAAAATATATAAAGCAAATTGGAAGTGTGCAACATGACGAAAATAACTGAATGAAAAGATGCTGATTAATGCAGAAATGAAGAGACGTCTGATTGAAAATATCACTTAACACAGCTTTGACCTCTATCATATCACGAGTCTTTATGACACCTATAGTTACTAGGTTGTTCCTTAGACATATTTATTTATTTTTTGTTTATCTAAAACACATTTGCAGAACGTTGAAAACCATCATTTGCAAAATAATTTTAATCTGTATTTAAAAACGTACTGTTGGATCCATGTAAGTACTATCCAATATGTAACGCATTTTAAAATAAAGAATACTTTTACATGCTTTCATTTGCTTTTATGAATGCACACGTATCTTTCGGTAGTATTCAAGTTGTCATTTTATACATGTATAGGATACTAGTAACTTAATTACCACAATTCATTTATGTGCTTTTCGCACTACTGGTGTATGTAATTTAGACACTCTACATCAGCTAATATAGGTGAAGAAATGAAAGACGAGACGCCATTCATAGGATAGTTCTTGCGCATGCGTAAGTGATGAGCCCAGGAAGTACGCCTATCATATCGGGAAATGCAGACACTAGAATACACTGTTATATTGATTTCAAAGAACAAATAACTTCTCTCCCTTCAGACGTTAAAGATGACGTGTTTAAAAATCATTGGCGTCATATTATCACATTCAATTGCTGCTTTAATACAGGTATTACAATATGAATTGAACAAGAGGCCCATGAACCACATCGCTCACTTGAGCACACTGGCTAAGAAAAAGCAGAAATCAGTTCGGTACTGAAAAGGTTAAATATATGTGATCGCAAAAACACCCCGAATGTGTGTGTCTGTGTGTATACGACTTGTTAACATTTTAATCTACACTGACGATGCTTCTACATTTCTTTGACTTCTCATGGCTTTAGAAGATTTTTCAAGATTTTTTTATATACATTTGATCTTCTATTGAGGCCCCGCCCTACCTCCGGAAAACTTGATTTGAACAAACTTAAATATACACTACCTGAGGATGCTTCTGAATTAATATGACGAATCATGGCATTGCTGTTCTTGAGAAGAAGCTTCTTATAGAATTTTTCTACGTATACCTTTGTAAAACTTTGATCGCCCATTGTGGACCCTCCCTAATCCCGGGGGTCATGATTTGAACAAAATAGAATCTACATTACCAGATTATGCTTCTATATAAATAATCAATCATGGCTTTGTCGTTCTTGAGAAGAGGATTTTTAAAGATTTTCTTCTGTTTTCCTTTGTAAAAACGTCTCTTTATAAGTGAAAAATTCTCGAACGGGATAAAAACAACATACAATCAATCAATATTTGTAAAACTTTGATCAAACATTGTGTCCCTATAGCGTTTTGAAAAATGATCGTACGTAGGGCACGCTCTTGCGTATCAACTGGAAGACAAAAATCCCACATGTAGTGATAAGGGTATTATGCTACATAAGTAAGGGAAGTTGACGATAGAAAATGAAGTCATCATGTTTATCATAAAGTTTTGTTCTTAGGTTACCATTAACTTCTTATTCTAGAAAATTTTCCAAGTATGACACAGATTTGTAGACTCTGTTGTGTCTTTTATTTCAAGTTCGCTGGTATACTAGCATATCAAATCAACATATGAATAGAAATAACAATTGTTAATTGATAATACGTCGTCGATATAACTAAATGTCGAGTCAGTGGCCACAGCAAGCGTTTTCTTCTAATGTAAAAGTTTTTGAATAAATTCTGCTTCATGAAAGTGTATTTTTATGGTATAGTGGGTCCTTGCTCCTTGTTTTCGTTATCCAAAAATGTATACTAGTATATTTACGCAAACTTTGAGGAAAACATTTTCAATAAAATGGAACGAAGACCCATTCATATCGATAAATTGTGTTATAGTATGAGAAAATGATTCCTTTTTCCTTCTTTAGTGTGTGTATACTATTTCATAAGCAAACAATTTCAATCTTGGTGAGATTTTTGGAAATTGTAGGGATTTTACATAAAGTATACTTTTTGTTATAATTCATATTTAATTTTTCACCCTCATGTTTGTCGCACAATTGGCATTTTGCTCTCCTTGTTCGCACATCTTCTAGTTGCTTAATTCTTTTTCATATTGAAAAAAAGGATATTTATGTATCATTTACAATTTTAATTTTATTACTATATACCACGTAAATGTAATCGAAATTGATACTGATTTAGCCTTTTTAAATAAAAGAAAACAGGGTGAGTATTAATGAAGCTTTAATGTCTGAAGAATTAGAATTATATATTAGATATAAATTATTTAGGTTATCTTCAGTTTGAATTAGTTTTTAGAAAAAAAGGAGAAACTTCACCTTAAAACTTTTTTTTATTGAAAAATAATGCTATCTGGCGGGTGAACTTGAATTTGACATATTTAATTCACTTTATTTGTCTTCCACACCTTTACACCAACATATGACCGTCACGGTAGCTCAGTCGGTAGAGCGCCCGCTCCGTGATCGGAAGATCGAGGGTTCGAGCCCCGGCCGCGACTGACCTAAGTCGATAAAAAATAGGTAGCAATTGTTCCTTCACCAAGCACTCGGCACTTTGAAGTGAAAGTTGTGGTTCCTTCGGATGAGACCTAAAAACTGAAGCCCCGTGTCACGGCAGGCGTAGGCACGATAAAAATTCCTCACTGCTCAATGACCCTGAGTGCCGATTAGGCACTGTCACTCGTCAGCTTTTTAAAAAAGTACGGTTTGAACCTCTAACTTCAAAACTATTCATTAAATTCAATTTTTATAAGATATTTGAATTAACCAATACAAATTATACAATATTCAATTTAAAAACTACTTACAGTCAGTAAGAAACAAGATTTATGGGGGACTATTTCTTTTGGTGGAAGGATATTTAGAAGAAAATTCTTCAAATCTACACATTTGTTACATTTAATATCTTTTAACTTTAGCCCCACATATTTTTTCTCAGAGAATTGACCATAATCTCATAATTTACATCACTGACACAAACTTTTTCACTCATTATTTTAAACTACACCATACTTCCAACCGATCAGCGCTAAAGACATAAAAAATTCGGTACAAGAAAATATTTTATTGCCAATTTAGATTTTTAATACCGTATATATGATGCTTTTTAGTGCAAAAAGTCACACAATAATTTGTACACATTAATTTGCATGATCTATTCAATGATACTTTTTATTCAAACTATTTAACGTAAAATAAGATTATATTTATTGTCATGATTCCATCTAATAAAATATGATAAAGATTAAAGTGATTAACCTAAAAGTTACAATTTAAGTGCAAAAAGGTCAAGTTAATTGTACCGTTGCTCAGGAAGAAGCACACTGGCCCCTGATTTTCTTTGCGATTTTGAATCATGCCATATGAGTACTTTTCTAAAAAATACTTCTTAAACAATCCTTGATATAATTAATCTAACGAGTGACATACCTTAAAGGTCTAAATTTGAAGTCCTTCACCGGTATATGGCGTCGTTTCTATATGAGTGAAAAATTCTCGAACGGGACGCAAAACAACATACAATCATTTCCAACATATGTGGAATGGTTATATTTTAATGAGTCCTTGGTGTACATTGCATACAAAATCATAATTATACAAGTTTTGTTTTCATGGAATCTTTGACTAAAGAAAAGTTAGTGTTAACATTTTTATCTCTTTACAAATAACTGTCGAAGCAAATAATCATGTTTATTGGGGTCTCGATATAAATGTCATCAAATCTTACAATGTTCAAACCAATGAATTCTACTTGTAATAGTAAGTATGGATACAAGTCTAGCAAATCAAGGGGAAAAAACCTAATACGTAACAAATCTGCTTAGATGAGTACGTTGTACATGCACTGTAGTTAACTTAGAATGCATATCCTTCACCTCAGGAAATCAGAATGACTATCCCACTTAACAAAACCCTTACTTTGCAACCTATTTATGCACTCTGGGTTATAACAGTTTGTTTGTCTAAAACACTAGAAATACTTTCCCCGTATCCCACAATTTAATAAACATCATTTGTACTTGAGAATTTCAGGTCACGTATATAATAATTATTACATTTATTTTTTGACGTGTCTGACAACAAATCGTTGTAAGATATCAGAGGAGCATGGTTAACTTTGTGCATAAATGCTCTTATAATGAATTTCCCTTACAAAATTACAGATCACCTCCAATCCCCTCAACCCCACCTCGCCCCCATCCCCCGAAAAAATAAACTAAATCGGGAAGGGGGTATCGTTATTGTTGCAAATTCCATTTTGACTGCAATTGTTCTTGCAAATGGCTCTGGCAATTTTCATAATAATGATCATCACCAATGTAGCTGTGCATACATCATTTAAAATGTTCAAATGGCCACCTTTGCAATAGAGATAGAGAAATGTGAAAATTTCTCAAGAACTACCCAGCCAATATATTTAACTGTTAAAATGATTAAATGATTTTTCCTTGTCTTAAATTAATTGATTCCTGCAAAAAATTTGACAATGGTGTCAATTTAAGAAATAAAGGCGGGGGGGGGGGGGGGGGGGCGAAGGGAGTCTAAATAAAAGCATAATTCTTCGTTAAAAGGTAATATTGATCAGTCAGTTATGTTTAAAAATTGCTGCCGTTGCCATTGACACAAGGAAGGGTAAATTTCTGAAAATTTGAAATTATAAAAAATTGATTTTATTTGCTTACTTAACTCCAATATTGGGCAATTCGGGATGAAATTATACAATTAATGTATTTTAATGAGGCCTGCTCGCAACTATACGAAACTGGTCAGGTATTGGTTAATCCAGGCCGAAGGCCGAGGTTAACCAATACCGCGTATGCCGAATTCAAAAGACAACCGTTTTATCAAATACTGTACGTGTACATAAATTGGCGTATAAAAAATTTAGCACAATCACTGGGTATGGAGTATCACGAATTAGCGCTATACATATCCGTTCCCTATATTGTATTTTTAAATGATTTCCTAGCGGTATTCATGAATTAGCGCATCGGTGTCTACGCCAAAGACGCTTAAATATGAAGCCCACTTTTTTAAGTACATATACAGTAATCAGAAATTTTACATCATTTTTCACATTATAGTTATTGTCTCCAACCAAATATAAACACTCATGATATCATATATTTTGTAGCAACATATCATAATTAAATTTTAAAAGATTAACAACTGGTTAACAAGGTGGAAAATAAATGTTATAAAACAATATATTCTCAACCATTCACTAACAAAGAAGCTTAGACTCTTCGATACTAGCTTCTGTAATATTTACGTTACAACGAAATA